GATCATTTAAAAATTTTAAAATACAATAATAAAACCTTTGTTTGAATAAAGTATACTTTAAAATAGAAAAACCCTTAACGGAAAATCTTTATAAACATTAATTGAAAGTCTCTGTTCAGCCATTCTGTTTCTGAGGAGAACACTCCAAGGGGCTTGGTAACCAGGCAGACGTTGAACTTGACATGATAAATGCAATATCTGCAGCAGATATTGCATTTATCATGTCAAGTTCACAAGCTATTGTGAATTGATTGAATGCTCTCGACCAATCAGATTCTTCATAGTGAGTCTGATGTATAATAATATAAGTTGTCTGTCATGCTTTAGTAATTTTCCGGCCTCATAGCGATTACCTTTGAAAGTGATACTAGTCGATATTTGAGACAATTTCTTGCAGGTGGTTCTAACAAAAACGCGACAAAGATTTTAGTTTAAAATGTGACATGCTGATTGCTTTTTAGCACATGTTATAAGATACATAACAGGTGAGCTGTGTTAGATCAGGGTCAATAAATAGTGGTAATTGAACTGAGTGGAGTGCAATTTGGTCTGAAATCATACGCGTGATTTCAAAATCGAACGAGCGCGCAGGGCGAGTTCGATTTGAAATCAGAAGTATGATTTCAGACCAAAATTGCACGACACGAAGGTCAATTACCACTTTATTACATCCATTTTGAAATCGCAGAATTTAGTCAGGACTAATATTTTATTGATCGAGTAGCCGGTTTGTTATAAAGCCGAAACAAAAAGGTTTTTACATCTCATTTTGTATTCGAAACAGAAATGATACGATATAGGACAAAAATGGTGCGATTTAAAACAGAAATGATGCGATTTAGAACATGAGTGACGCGACTTGGAACAGATGCAATTTAGAGCAAAAAATGGTGCCATTTAGGAATAAATCACACTGCTGAGAGCCAATCAGATTGCACGGATAGCCAGTGATTTCAAAGTGGATGTAATAAATCTCTTTACCGAGTTGATTTTTTAGTGTGGTTCCCATTATTTTTAAAAATAAAATCTAAAAGAGAACTCGCTGACTACTTTCTAACGAGAGTGCGAAAAAGGAATAATGCACTCGTAAGGCTAACATTATCGCTAAGATATTCTGGGTTTAGTCAAGGCAATTCAGATCACAAGATTTGGTTGGTTACGTAAGTCATCATTAGTGGATCGACATGGAATGCGTAACTGTTGGAAAAAAAGCCACAGCTTGAGGGCGCATATATAACTTGTGTTTTCAAATGCGATATTTAACCAGTCTAGATGCCACTGTGATCGGCAATATGGCTCCCCTGACTGCAAGAGATCAGAGAACAAAAATGCGACAGACAGGGGAAAGCCCAGTTCATGGGATATGCGAATTTCAACAAAGGTATTTTTAGAACAATTAAATGCTTGAAATTACTCGGAAGTTGGTTTCCAGAGAGATCCACAAACTTTTATTCAGTGTTGGAAAAAGTACTGGAAAAAGAGATTAATGCGGAGACATCATGCTCGCTCTTGGTCGTCATTACAATATTCTGCATTGTTTGCTTTGAGGAAGTCGCGTGATGGCGTTTCAAACAAATGACAAAAATTAGGCCCGGACGTCTAGGGAGACTTCCGCTTAATTACAATCAGGGGCGCCTAGCGACTTTTTTCTGCAAAACAACTGTTCGAAGGAGCAAATATTGCCTAGAAATTTCTAAAGCTTAAGAAAAGCTAAAAATTTCTGGATAACCGTTCCATTCGTGTAAAATATTCAGAGGTTTTCTCATAGCTTAACTACGATTTCCGGAGTTTGCGTTGTTCACATTTTAATATCAAGATATTGCGATTATTGTTAAAAAAAGGTCTCCTAAAACTTTCGGTATAAAGACAAAACGTCCCATATAATTTTCTATTGAAAGCAAGGCTACTTCACGTCCTCGAACTTTCGACTGAACCCATACGGTTAGCTAACACTTTCAGATGAGACGAAAAAGCCACCTAAAACTTTCGTGACGACCAAAGTTTCCTAAGACACCCGAACAAAGAAATAGTTTTTAGGGCAACTCCACCAGGCAGACGTTGAACTTGACATGATAAATGCAATATCTGCAGCAGATATTGCATTTATCATGTCAGGTTCACAAGCTATTGTGAATTGATTGAATGCTCTCGACCAATCAGATTTTTCATAGTGAGTCTGATGTATAATAATAGTCGATATCTGAGACAATTTCTTGCAGGTGGTTCTAACAAAAACGCGATAAAGATTTTAGTTTAAAATGTGAACTCCTGATTGCTTTTTAGCGCATGTTATAAGATACATAACTGGTGAGCTGTGTTCGATCAGGGTCAATAAATCTCTTTACCGAGTTGATTTTTTAGTGTGGTTCCCATTATTTTTAAAATAAAATCTGAAAGAGAACTCGCTGACTACTTTCTAACGAGAGTGCGAAAAAGGAATAATGCACTCGCAAGGCTAACATTATCGCTAAGATATTCTGGGTTTAGTCAAGGCAATTCAGATCACAAGATTTGGTTGGTTACGTCAGTCATCATCAGTGGATCGACATGGAATAGCTTACCTACTGTTGGAAAAATAGCCACAGCTTGAGGGCGCATATATAAGTTGTGTTTTCAAATGCGATATTTAACCAGTCTAGATGCCATTGTGATCGGCAATATGGCTCCGCTGACTGCAAGAGATCAGAGAACTAAAATGCGACCGACAGGGGAAAACTCAGTTCATAGGATATGCGAATTTCAACAAAGGTATTTTTACAACAATTAAACGCTTGAAATTACTCGGAAGTTGGTTTCCAGAGAGATCCACAAACTTTTATTCAGTGTTGGAAAAAGTCCTGGAAAAATAGAATAATGCGGAGACTTTATATTATGCTCTCTCTTGCTTGGTCGTCATTACAATATTCTGCATTGTTTGCTTTGAGGCAGTCGCGTGATGGCGTTTCAAACAAATGACAAAAATTAGGTCCGGACGTCTAGGGAGACTTCCGCTTAATTACAATCAGGGGCGCCTAGCGACTTTTTTCTGCAAAATAACTGTTCGAAGGAGCAAATATTGTCTAGAAATTTCTAAAGCTTAACAAAAGCTAAAAATTTCTGAATAACCGTTCCATTCGTGTAAAATATTCAGAGGTTTTCTAATAGCTTAACTACGATTTTCGGAGTTTACAGATTGTTCAGATTTTAATATCAAGATATTGCGATTATTGTAAAAAAAAAGGTCTCCTAAAACTTTCGGTATAAAGACAAAACGTCGCCTATAATTTTCTACAGAAAGCAAGGCTACTTCATGTCCTCTTTTTCGAACTTTCTACGGGACCATACGGTTAGCTAACACTTTCAGATGAGACGGAAAAGCCACCTAAAAATTTCGTGACGACCAAAGTTCCCTAAGACATCCAAACAGAGAAATAGTTTTTAGGGCAACTCCAAATTAACCAAAAAGGCTTCAAAAAGCACAGAGAAAACCATGTGAGACATTTCTGGCGAAACTGGAAACATTCGGTCGTTGGGTGCCTCTGTACAACCTCTAAAAAGACTCTGGCCAACGCTCTAAGATTCCCTTTCTGTCCCATGATCTGGTGAATGAATTACAGACGTTCTCAGTCGTCTGAAGGCACACAAGTTAAGGGTATAAGATAAAATCAGTCTCGTATTCAGGCCCCAAGAAAAGAGGCGGAGATAAGAAATGTACGCATTGTGACTGGTTGGGGGTAGATCATTCCTTACAGCCTCAGTTAGGGCCGAGAAAGAAATCTCACTTCATCCTTCGCCTCACCCATAGACCAAACCCTCTTTACGTTAAGAAGTTATTGAAAAAAAATCAATTTTGTACCAAATATTAGGTGTAAAACATGTGTAAGTGTCAGTTTTGTTGACAGGGGGACAGGTGTGTAGCTACGAAGAAAAAGGCAAATGACAGTTGTCATATACCTAGCATAATAAACTACAGTTAATGAAAAACAAATAATCCCGACAAAAAGTGACTTATCTAAACAGAAACGACATTTCCCTTCAAAAAAAACTTATGGAAAAAAGCTTATGGCACTGCAACTGAGGCAGACGTAAAACCCATTTTCGCCGAGTTAGTGCCAGTTTAATCAGTTCCCTTCGCAAAAAGAAGTTCATATAATCAGACGGCTTAATGTCGAAAAACAACCAGGCGTCTTTAAATTTTTACTCCATGAACGCAAATTTGCTTTGAACACTAGTGCAGTCGATGTTTGCTGAGCCTTAATTGTAAAAAACTGGCAAGAATTATTTCTTTCTGTTGTCAACTGACGTTTACTTTTGTACTCTAACCCTAACTCTAACTCGAAAAACCCCCTCGCCACTGCTAAGCTATTTCGGGTCGTTTGAACTAAAGATGTTAGCGTTAAAAGGGTCTCCCCATTTTTTTTTCAACCAATTTGAGCCTGCTTTTATGTTTTCCATTTTCAATGAATCGGATGTGTCAACAGTGTCAACCTTAAATTAATTCTGGAATAGGAGATTCTGCAAAATAGGTTTTCCCATTTTGTCGCAAGTTAATGAATATCACCTGTACGCATGGGGAATTAAACGTCTTAGATAAAGAAAGTTAAAGTGTCTGTCACGCAAAAAAAAAAAAAAGCGCATTGAAAGAGCCGCATCAAACATTGGTTTTTTGTTCTAAAATTGGCGAGAACATAATACCTAATTTATTTATGATACCTGCGAGCTTTGAAGTCTTTAAAACAAAATGATATCACAGACCCTGGTTTATCAAAAAATGAAAAGAAAAAAAAAACTGGTCACTTAATTTTTTCAGTGGCCATTCCATTGTTTGGTAATACCCATTGCCGTGAGTGACAACTCCTTTAGTGCAAAAGAGATGCAAGCTAATTAAAGAACGACATGTGTTTGTTCCTCTGGTTATTTACTGCGCGAATGGTGATAGTTGTACATTACTTATCGAAAAGAAAGCTTCAAAGTAATCTCTCTCGATACTTTAAAGCCGCAATCCACTTAACAGTATTAAAATGGATAAAGTTGGCCTTCTTGAGGACATTTACAACACTTCATCCTTTACCATGGCGTTAAACCTTTCGTCGGGAAATTCTCTCGTATCAGAAAGCGAATGCTTTCATAGGGACTCACTAGCGACAAAATTTCTGCGAATTCTTCCTCACTTCTTCATAATCATTGTGTCGTTGATAGGAAATTCTATGGTTGCGGCCGTTGTGTTCAAGAATTCTCGAATGAGAACTACAGTGAATTACTATATAGTGAACATGGCCATCGCAGATTTACTCATTACCCTCTACATGCCAAGAACGATATCTGCCGTTATATTTGGCTACGAGTGGGTCATAGGTGGAACAGCTGGTCTAGTTCTCTGCAAACTCTCTATTTTTGTTAACCAAATACCTATGATAGCCTCCATATTCACCGTAGTCGCTATCAGTTTTGACCGTTTCAACGCCGTGGTATTTCCGCTGCGAACTTTCGTTTCCACTCGCATGTGTAAGGTTGTAATATTCTGCACGTGGCTTATAGCCTTGGCATTTCGCTCTCCAACAGTCTATGCCGTACGTCTAATGCCTGGAAAAAACGGCAAACTCTACTGCAATTTAGCATTAGATGTAACTTTCGGACCCGGGGCGAAGAAATTGTACTATAATTTTAACATGATCGCAATTTTTACAATCCCCTTTCTTACAACTGTAATCTTCTACACTTCTATAATGGTGACTTTAAAAAGACGAAAAGCGCCCGGGCTTACGCCCGAAAATTCATCTAACAACAGCGAGGGTTTTAAACGCAGAGAGGTGGTTAAAAAGAACGTCCTTCGTTTGGTCTTAATTGTGGTAACAGCGTTCATTTTATGCTGGTTGCTGTATTATATCAGGCTCATCTTGTTCGCCTATGGCTACGATTTTTCCTGCAACTGGCTGTTTGTGCGGCTTATTCTAGCGCATTTTAACAGCGCCTTAAATCCCTGTTTGTACGCCATTTTCAGCGAAAACTACCGCAAAGGATTTAAGAAGATTTTATCGAGGGTAAATTGCTTAAAGAGGTTGCCAAGAAGACGCCTTTCAGATCAAAGTCGCGATTCAAACAGATTTGTCCGAAGGAGCTTGGGGCCCTGGGGTAGTAATGGCAGTATTAGTATTCGAATAGAAGGTGAAAGGCAACAGTTATCAACCTTTCAGTCCAGCGATCCGCAAAAATAAGTTCCCGCAAATGAAAATTACCGCAAACATTTTTCCCGCAAAAATTTGCTCCAGAGTAAATATTCTCTAACATAAATTCGCTACACAAAAATACAGTACTAAGAAATCGTGTCTGTTCAATTACAACTTGTCTCTTTCGTTTAGAAACAAAACGGTAAACAATGAACTTACTGGTTTTACATAAGGTACAAACTATATTGTTTGAAAATATGTATTTCTCTTGTACGTATTCAATAAAAACGAAAATATCATCAATGCTGGGTATTGGGTTCTTTCTGAAAATCGCAAAAATTAATTCCCAGCAAGAAAAACCAATCTGTCCAAATAGCATAAAAATTAGTTCGCGCCAAAGACCAAAAATCACCACTCCGCAAAAATAAACTACCGCAAAAATTTCGTACCACACGGTAAACTGCGATCAGGCGATTTAAGAAAAAAAATCGCCTGATCGCAGGTTAACCACACGGTAGCAAGAGCTACTGAGTAAGGTGGGTAGGGGGAGGGGCAAATTATTGTCTTGCCGACATGGTTAGCCCCTTCTAATAATACATGCGCAAAATCGCATTTTTCAATCCTCCTTTGATTTGCCTCTGAGATTATAATGATGAAAAGGAGACTCTTTTATTTAACGCCTAAGGTTTTCAATTAAAAAACTTTTTACCCTTTATGGTGGAAGGTTTATCTAAAGAAGCGTTGCTTGGGTCATGTCACTGTATGATTAATAGAGTTCCCAAACGAAAAACGTCTTCAAGAGGTGCCGACAGAACATCGAATATTCATTGTAATAAAAATGAAAAACACATTTGAAAACCAAAAAAATAAATTCGAACTTTAAACAGCTTAGGCTAGGATATATCTTCGGGAATCGCCGATAACTTAATCACATATTGCACTTAGAGACAACTATTGAACACAGGATCGAGAAAGAGCTTCGAAGCATTTCCCGATTTTTCTTGATCTTATCATAAATACACTTGCTAAATATACATAGTTAAAAAAAGAACAAAAATAATGATGTGACTAAATTGCTGCAAACAGGTGTTAACTTAAATCTTTTAAAATTACTTCGACCGGTTTAGGCTCGGAAAATACCGGCGAAACTAAAAGAGCACTACAGTTGCTAAATGTACGATCAATCTTTGATAAAACGCTGTAAATAACTATTTTAGAGTTGTTCACTTCATACTGAAAAACACATCAAAAAGTAAAAATTGAATACTTAACTTTGAACACAATTAAAATTTAAATGATAGAAGACAATTTCCCACCCCCTGGGGAAATCTCACATCTTCTCTTTTGCAGTTCATTTTTTTGGAAAATAACTGTATATTATGTCAAAACACCAAGCCTGTTAAAAAAGTCATTTCTTTTCTTTAATTGCAATAATAGAATATTCTATTAGTACAGATCGCACTTACCTCTTTTACTCGATTGCCGGAATAATAATGACAAGAAATTAAGTTTTGTGATTCAGTTGTTTTCATGTATATTTTCTCTCATTAACGACTCGACAATGAAAAGACACCGTTGGTAGTATATTAGTCTGTTAACTAGCTTAATACCCCGAGGGGTAACACTAACTGGTATAAAATAGAGCTGATAAAAATTATGACAATCGTTACCATTATTTCAAAAAAAGGTAAGAATATCGGAAAATGTTATTTTCTCTGCAAAATACCCTGTAATTAGTTATTAAAGTTACATATTGTAGATATCAATAAAAAATAGTTGTGTGAAACCAAGAACAGCACAGTGGAGGGGTGCGGAAGTGAAATCCTTGTACCCAGGGCCGATAACCTTCATGGTGACAAGTTGTCGAGAGGACGCTGGGAATGAGTCCCAAAAAAACGGTGCAACTATTGAGGTTAAAACCATTATTTTGGGTAGATATAACACTTTTAAATTTAATTTTAAACGTCTGCAAAGAAGTGTACAAAAGATAACAAACATGCCCAATGAACAAATCCGTGCTTTTCTTTAGTCGCTACAAAGAGGAGAAGTGAGACGTTACGTTACCATGGTAGCATAATTTCTGGGAGCTTAATAAGCTTAACGCCCACGGCGATGGCAACGAAAACTACAAAATAGCAATTGTTGGTTCTCACATGACGTCACTAAAATTCAATCAACAAACTATCGATCCTACTGAGATTTTACTTTCATGGTGTGTTAGAGCGGCTGAAAACTAATTTTCAAACAAATTTTGCCCCTTCAAAAGGTTTCTTGGTTGTAATAGAGTACGCTTGAATTTCTAAGCTTTTGCGCGACGCAACATTTACATGACGGCGGAGAGAGCTGTCATAAAAAAGTGACTTTTTCCGAGGAATTTTGCTATCTAGGCAGTTCAAGTATTAAAAAAAGTATTACTTTAGTGTTTATGGGTTCCTCTAGGGGTAAATTCACGCTTTTGTAGCAAAAGTCGGTAACAGATGTTTCTGTTGGTTTCCGTCCGCTATGTTGGAGCTCATCCAGATGAGCTCCAGCATGGCGTCTCCATACAAAGCTCTATAAATTTGGGTAAAACATTTCCTTGGATATCTCGTATACGAATTATTCCTTCGACCCAAATCTTTGCGACGGTCTTTGTATATTTACCTCCTTTCATTTCCCAGATTCTGGACTTTATCTGTCGAATGATTTTGATTTTGGTTTTTGATGTATTTTGAAAGGCGTGACACTGAAAACCAGCAAAAGGTTTTGCACGTTTCTTAGCCGTCGCTGCACGAGCGCGATATAAAACTTCCTAATTTCACGCACCCGCCTTGGAGTAGGTGAGTAGGTCTAAACTTAGCTACAGTCCTTTCGGATTCAAACCCAGAACAATACGCTAAAATTTGACAAATTAAATGAAATTGAATGAGATCGATGAAGTTTGAAACAGTGCGAACTCACTTTACAGGTTTTCGGGTTTGTAGTCATCCCTACCTTTTGCTACCATGGCAACATGATGTACCGACCTCTCTTCTCATTTCTTACAAAAATAAAAATAAACAGCAGGATATAGTCAATTTCACGTTGGGAAACGTAAGTTAGTTATGCGTCCTCAAGTCATGGCTGTTTTTGGAAACAGGATGCGTGTGAAAGAACTGAAAGTTATTCCATCGACGAGACGAACCAAATCTTGTAATCTGAACTGAGTTACTCAAAGTTAAAAAATCTTAATGGTAACTATAGTTTGATAAATAATTTTTGTTATTCTTGTATTTCCTTTTCGCATCAAACAAGAACTAGTGCATTAAAGAGTGCCCAGAATATCTTTAAGATTTATTTTTGGAAATTATAGAAATGTCCCTAAAAAATATTTAATGTAATTAAGAGTTTTTACTCGTTTCACGATGTAGCTTAGTTCACCTGTTTTATAACTCATTAAATTAAATTAAAAAATGAAAAAAACAAAAACAAAAAGAAAAAGAAAAAACAAAGAAAAAAAAGCAGAACATTACATTTAGATCCCAAATCATGATCGTTTTTTGCAAGAATCACTTGCCAGAAACCTTGAGACAAATACCTAGCTTGGAATTTTGTCTTTTTTCGAAATAATCATTGTAGATGCAATAAATTGGCAGATGTGTTTTAATTAAAACTTTCTTACTTTGTAATATTTTTAAATGTAATCTGTATGGGACCGGAAAAGTTCCTTAGTAAAACAAACAGAAAGCTATATTAAAAGCAACACTGAATAAGTTTTCTTTTTTAAAGTTCACATTACTGTACCAATCATTGCCTTAATAGTAACAACTGTTTTATAAACAGATTATTAATCTTGACCTGAAAGTTTTTTTCCTCAATTGCAGTTCATGTTGCATCTGTTTTATGAATGCAATGAGGCATGTTTATTTCTTACTTTGAAGATAATTCTTGGCTAAAGGCGAAGTAATCGAAAAGTAAAAAATGTATTAAATAATAAAATCGTGTGGGTGTAATTCAATTCCTTAGAAGTTAATTAACGATCACTCAGCACTTTATTGCACACCAAGGTTTAATTACACGTGATATACGAGAGGAATCGTTTAGATTTTCAGCATGATAAAACACAAAGAAAAAGAGATCACTTTATTTTTAATTTAATTCACTTTATATTGTACGGTTCCTATTGGACTGATTCAAACACCATCACGCGACACGGGGCGAGAAACATATCTAAGCTGACATGCTCAAGTTGTTGTAGGGCGTAGACAAGCTTAGACAGCACTTATAAGCATTTATGCCTCCGAGCTTTCTTAATCAAAAATGAAAACAAAATTTCGGGCAGACCTGTCTTTAATACCTCTCATGGTAATTGAAGTTTTGATCCTGATTTCGCCGGTAAAATCTCAAGATAATCGGCTGACGGAAAGCGACGGGAACGCGGAAAGTTCTAATGGGTATATCATGCCAGTTGGTATGTTCGTCTTTATATTTATTGAGTGTTTCTACTGATCGGTTATTAAGCTGCTTACTAACGCTGAATGATGTTTTCCGTCCTACAAATATCAACATCTCTATCAAACAAGACGGAATTACGAAGCAGTATAATGTTAGTTTCTGTTGATGCCATGAGATTTTAAATACTTGTTTACTTTGTATGTTTGTTAGAGTCAGCTGACCGCGACTTTACAGTGAAGTATAAAGGAGAAGTCTTAAGTTTAAAGAAACTTCTGGGTCTTCTTAGTGATTATAACATCTCTGTGCCACAAAATGAGGATTCCTTTTTTAACGAAGTAATTAACAAACAGATGTCCTCAAGAATACAGTCGTGTAATGGCAGATGTTTCAAAGACGAAAGAACAATTTCTAAAACATGTTATTGCGACAAGGCTTGCATTACGTGGGGTGATTGTTGTTTAGATTTTCACTTGAGGTAAGACCAAAAATATGAACTTTAGAAAGACCTTTTTGTTTTAGTTCATGCGCTTTGTTTCTTAGTTAATTCATACATTAACATGACAGACTCCAATTGTCTTTCGTAAAATGGGGTTCATATGACCCCTCAGATTTCATGATTGTAACCAATTTTGATC